GGAGTAAGGGAGGGTCTGTCTCCTTTGAGTTACTGGGTTCGGCTCTTGTACTAGGTGTATCTGGTTTAGCTCTGATATATTCCTTACTCTTCTGGGCAGCACACCCTAGATACAATGGATCTTTTCACATTTTAGAAAATAAATGATTATGGGAGGAAAACTTGGAGTTGAAAATCAGCATCCGTCTCAAAATTCAAAGTAGGCTCTTATCAGTGCTAAAAAGACTCCAATTTAGACTGTTTTCCTGGTTTAGGAAACATCTGCAGCATTTGTTTGGTTGTTACTGTGAAAGCCCCTCTGGGTGTTACGAACAGGAGAAAGCAAAAACGTCACTTGACTCTTGAAAGAGCCCTGATACAATTCATTCCTCAGACCAGGTGTGGCAGGATTCCTACTACTGACGTGGCATACCGCCAAAGAAAATTCTAGAATTTTATGCAAAAAGCAGATGCTTACCTTGAGTTTGCATTAACTTCTCTCTACTGTGAATGTAGGTACAGTCTTTAATGCATGAATACAGGTTAATTTTAGTAGAGAAAACATTAGCATGTGTCCTCAGTGTTCACAATGGGGTGTTTTTTATTAAAGGCTCTTCAGTATAGCATTGTTTACTGTATAGTCTCCTATCGAGTTTGTGAACATGAAATCCTATTAAAGGAAAATTAGAAAGTGCCTCGGAAACTGAGGACATACATTGTAGTGATATTGCAGGTGTAACAGATTTTCTGCATATTTACTTCATCCTGCCCTCCATTCAATGATTCAACAAATACTTATTCATTCCTGTATTCAACCATTTTGGCAAATATTTATTAACCACCTACTATGTGCCACCAGGAGCTAGTGCAGAGAAGGGGAAGTATACGTCACCACCTGAACATTGCATATTTCTCATCCTGGTCAATGTGGAAAGTGTGAAAAGATGTTAACTGTTCAGGTGCAGAATGGAGGAGATGGCTCTTAGGAACTAAAATTGTGGCGTTGCTGTTAAACACACACAAGGAAACCCCAGGTCTGTTTACACAGCCTCTGGAGGTGGTGGTCCCAGCCCTGTGGCTTTCACTCTCGGACCACATCCACATTGGTACTCACTTCTGACCCAACATTTTCTGAAGGATGCTCACACTGGAGAGTATTCCAAGGTTAGAAGTGATTGGCATCATTCGACAGATGAGAGAACTGGCTGAAGGAGCTGGAGTTGTTTAATTTTAAGGAAGCTTTGGAGAAAGGCAGTCATTATCCTGAATGTAGACTGATTCTGTGTTGCCCCTGAGGACAGATAGACAAAGGACAGAATTTTTGGCTTTGCATGGGGAAGATGATTTTAGCAATTAGCACTTGAAAATGGAGAAGTCCTTGTGCTGGAAGTAGTCACAGAACTAAGTGATGGTGTGTCTACTGTGTTTATATTTGAACAATGGTAGTGAGAACTTTCTGTGCTTAGTGGGAAGCTGGACAGCATCTCAGCTCCCTTCCAGTTCTGAGGTTCATTGCAATTTATTGGTTCTTAGGGTACATGGAAATTAGATGAATTAGCCCTCTAGATAAAACATAAGGGAAAAATAGACCCAAACCTTTTAAAGAAGAGAAATAGAATTATCTCGTCTGCACCAGCCCTCCTCTCTGTTTTGGCCATGTTCTGCGGAAAAGAAGCCATGACTGGCTCATCATGACGACTCGCCCGACTTATGGTGAGGGTTCGGGAAGAAATGGACAGCCAGTGCAGCCACTCCTGCTATCCGAGGCCAGAGAAGGATATCATTAACCACAGATCTCAGCCAACTCCAGAAATGGTTGGAACTCCCAACCCTGGCAGCTCAGCTATTGCCTGAGTTAAGTTCTTAAATGAACCTGCAGCTGCTGATTACCATGTAGCTGAAAGGATGGATTGGGGACATCACCCAGAGATGTCTTGGCCATCACCCAGAGATTTAACCCTGTTATGGAGTATTGCTTGAGCTCTGAACCCAGGGCTCCAGCTGGGCACTATGGGAAAATTGGAGTGGGTTGATGTGTTCAGCGGCCTCATATTTCCTACCAGCCCCTCAAGACTGTTGTGACCTGGTCTCCTCTCCCTGCCTGTGACAGGGATGCAGTTCAAGGGCAGTCCTAGTTTTTCAGAATAAGACAGAGGCAGGACTGGAGGTAGGGAATGTTCTTGCCTGACCTCTGAGCGTTCACTCCCTGTTGTAATTTTGTTAGCGTTTGCTATCAGCTGCTAGGCCTTGGGCAACAGTCACTCAAAATGGAAGTGTGCAGGTTCGGGTTCGATCCCTAAAAATGCAGCCCATGATCCAGAACCCAGATCCAAAGGCCTGGCCTTTGGAGGTGATTTGGAGGAAAAGCATGGACTCTGGTGTTGGCACACCAAGGACCGTTCTGTCCAAGCTGAGGTCCCGGGTGTGTCAGCCTCTCCACACCTCAACAGCTGCATCTGCAAAATGACAATAATATTGTATGTAACATTCCCACCAGATCCTCGCTGAGTACTCACTCTCGCCCCTCCTCTTTCTTTCTTTGTGGAAACAATTGTCATAAATCCTAAGAACTAGACATGCTTATCACCTGATAGAGAGGGCACCCAGTGAACTGCTGACAGTTGTCAGTCTGATTTCATTTTCTCATGGGTTATGGCCTCATGTTCATCTGCAGAGGTAACCTGTCGACTGTTGAAAGGGTATTCATTTTTTAAGTTAATTTTGAGTTTACTTATTGAAAGGGTGGGTTTGGTACTAATTCGCATCCCTTAGTGATATACTTCCTCAGGGCTTAGATGCTATGAAAAAATTCTTTTTACATTTCTAAAGTTGGAATGTACCATCCAATAAACGTGGAAAGAAGCTTGTTGGCCTTTCCTTTTTCCATCCAAACACTGATGCTAAGTGGTGGTCTCCTTAAATCCCTGTAGAACAGAACGGGTGCTTAGAGGAAGGCTGTTTGTTTTCATGAACTTTCCCAAGGCTTCGGTGACCAAGGACTAATACCAAAGCACCCTTTCCTGTTACTCTAAGTGGGCATTATGGTTGGGATTTTTTTCCATTCTCTGCGCGGAGTCTCTCTGCTCCACCACACCGATTCCCCTAAGGACACAGGTTTGGCCTGAACCGCCTTCCTTGAGGCCCATTTCCTTGAAGGTTAGGCCATGTCTAAGCTGCCGGCAGCTGGTTAGGCTGGTGCTCTCTGGGCAGGGGCTAATGTGGAGGCCCCTCCGTCTTCTAGAACGTGTCTGTAGAACCAGAACAAGGGAAGTCGCATCTTACCCCCCACATGCTCAGCACGGACTCGCGGGTGTCGCAGGGCGGGTGATGTGAGGGAAAGGCATTGTCTTAGCTGTGTCACTGAGTCGGTGGCCTGAGGCCTGTGTTGTGGTGCTCGTGGTTCGAGAACTTCTTCACCTTTGCATCTGAGGCCTGTCTTCCCTGAAGAAGGCGTCCCCAAAAGTGACCTGAACTTCTTTTCACAAGTGTGGTAGGGTCATTTATGAAAACTCTGCTGTTCTTCCCATTCCTACCAACGTCTCCAGTACAATAATCCTATAAAGGAATCATTTATACAAAGCTGTGGCTGCATTCTGACGTCGGGCACAGTTGAACCCGTCAGAGACGACGGTGGTGGTGGTGGTGATGATGATTGTCAGTAGAAAGACTAAGCCTTTTATGTCACAGTGCAAGGACATTGAAAGTGACTCTCTTTATATAATGTCATTCTTTCCCTCTTGGTCTTGATACCTTGTTCTTAGGATGTTTGTTTTAGAACTTGATAAAGTTAGGTCACTATAAATCAGCTATCCATAAAACTCTCTTTTTGGAACCCATAAAACTCTGTATTATAATTGTATATATATTATGAATATGTAATACTTATATGTATAGTTCTAGTCCAGGGGTGGGCAAACTTTTTGACTCGAGGGCCACAATGGGTTCTTAAACTGGACCGGAGGGCCGGACAAAAGCATGGATGGAGTGTTTGTGTGAACTAATATAAATTCAAAGTAAACATCATTACATAAAAGGGTACGGCCTTTTTTTTTTTTTTTTTTTAGTTTTATTCATTTCAAACGGGCCGGATCCGGCCCGCCGGCCGTAGTTTGCCCACAGCTGTTCTAATCTCATAGATGTCAGGGTTGCAACATGTAACTTACTCATTTTATTGTCCCAGCTATTCCCATGAGCTGTTAATCCATGCAATACCATGAACAACATGGAAAGGCTTTTGGGTCTTAATAAGCGTCCCAGATATTTGTTCGGTCACCACTTCCCAAATTTGACCCATAACATTCTTCAGAAAGCAGAAGAGAGAAAATGCAGTACTGGTAGATGGGGGCTGAGTCCTGAGGGTCAATATACAGTGATTACTTGGTTTGTGAACTAGTGGTATCTGGGAATTCTTTTTTTTTTTTAAATCCTCACCTGAGGATATTTTTCCATTAAATTTTAGAGAGTGGAAAAGAGAGGGAAAGACAGAGAGAAACATCAGTGTGAGAGAAACACATCAATTGGTTGCCTCCTGGATGTGCCCTGACCAGAGTCTGGGTCTAGAAGGAGCCTGCAGCCTAGGTACGTGCCCTTGACTGGACTTGAACCCAGAACCCTTTGATTTGCAGGCCGACACTCTATTCACTGAGCCAAACCGGCCAGGGCTCTGGGAATTCTGTATTCTGTAGAATTATGTGTCCTAAAATAGTCCATTTTGCCTGAATAAGAACAGGTCATCAGATACTTTGCTTTCGTCTCATTGGTGCCAGTGAAGTTCATGAATGTCTCCCAACAGACAGCAAGATATTAAGTGACATTTTTTGGGTAGCAGTTGCAAGAGACTTAAGAGGGTTCAAGGAGGATTCAGGGAGGTTAAAAAGAGAGAAGTCACTGTATAAATTATACGTCATATCTCTAATGTCTAAATATAAAATGTAAAAAATTTAAAAGAAGTAGACCAATGCATTTTTTTTTTTTTTTTGCTAAATCAAATTGTGTGTGTGTGTGTGCATGTGTGCTTTCCAGACATATGAAGATTCACGAGAAGGACCCGAACAGTGCTACTGCTGCAGCCCCGCCATCCCCACTGAAGCGCAGGCGGCTGTCCTCCAAAAGGAAACTGAGTCATGATGCCGAGTCGGAGAAGGAAGACCCAGCGCCTGCTAAAAAGGTCCTCTCTGCTCCCAGCCCCGATGTGCCTAACCACGGGACCCTTGGTAGAAACACACCTAGTCTTTATTTTTGCGGGGGGGGGCGGGGGGGAGAGAGGCGCGGGGCGCTGGCCTGTGCTTTCCACGCTGTGTAAGGTGTCTACAGAAGAGGGTGTGTGTGCTTCCTCTGTGGAGCCCCCGGAGCCCATAAGGAAAGGGAGAGCCCGTTCCATTGCTCCTCTGCTTGTTTTTTCCAGCTAGAGTGGCAGCTGCCTCAGTGTTAGGGACTTTTACTCCCAGTGCCTGTCAAGCGCTAGGTGCTTTGTAAATACGTGTTGAATGGATGAGTGGCTGAGGGTGGATGCTGGG